GGTTTTCCAAATAAAAGTGGGTTAATTATGGAGTTGGTCATCAGAATATCAGATTAATTAATATTTTTAAGATACTTACAAATTGGTCACCAAAATTGATTTAAGAAGATTGGGTTAAACATAAATGAATGAACATAAACGAACATAACCGAACGAACATTACCGAACGTTCACGAACGTAAATGAACAAACGAGACCTATGTTCATGTTCGTTCATTTAATTAAACGAACACAAAATGTTGTTCATGTTCGTTCATTTAATAAATAAACGCACATAAACGAACTTCCCGCCGCACGGTTCATGAACGATTCGCTGAACGTTCAGTTCATTTACAGGCCTATAGCCGGTTATAACACCGCTTTTGATGACAATGATCGATTGTTAATATTCTTTTATTTTTATATTATGTCTTTATTTTTTTTAATTTCTAATAATTATATCTTTATGATACATTTTTATCTACTTTTATGATTTTTTTTCTACCTCTTAGTATTGTTTTTGGTTTTTAATCGGTAGTTTGATTTTTTGTTTTTCCTTAATTTTCTTAGGGTTGGATTTGATGTTGTCTCAGTTGATTTAGATGACGTTTATTTGTTATCTTATTGATTTTTCTTTCTTTGAACCCTTATATTAGGTTTAGATACGCGATTTGCATTAAGAGATAGTTTTTTCATGGCGTTCGACTCTGATTTGCGATTGTCGGTGATCTTTCAATAGTTTGATCACTTGTTGTGGTTTGTTCGTCGATACAATCACGTCTATTTGCATCTATATTTTGTTTGAGTTTTTAGATGAACTTTTATATTTTTCTTAATATATTCCTTATATCATCCTAAATAGCTAATTTTTTGTCTCAATGGTTATAAGAATTGTCTTAATTATGTGCTTACGTTCATGGCTATAGAACTTCATTGTAATTTTAAATTTTTCCTATTTTTTAATAAAAATAGAGACTTCTATTTGCAACATTTTTTTTTAAATTTAGTATTATTTAATTAAAAACAATATATTATATATTTACAAGTTAAATGTTAAATTTTAAATAATAATATATATTTAATTTAAAAATATTAGATATATAATTGTAAAAAAATAAAATATGATACCTAATTATATCTAAAAATGTTAATTGTACAATATAAATAAATATCTACTTATATAAAAATATATATATATATATAAAAAATTAAATAGCAAAAATTATATTTACGCGAATTTCAAATATATTGAGCTCATATATGTGGTAGATGTCTTCATATAATTCCTTATCTCTGTTCCTTGATGGTTTTTTAAATAGTTTTCATACTTTTCAGTTTCACCAAAATATCTACTTGCTTTTACATCATTCGGATAAATATTATATTATTAATTCTGTTAAAAAATTAATAATTAAATCATTTTCGTTACTATAATACTCTCAGATTAGATGTAAAAATGATTAATAATTTAATGAGATAATATAAATTATCTAATATTATAGATTAACCACTTTTAAAGAATGTTTTAGAAGTAATTCATATAATAGGATGAATGATTAAATCTTTTAAATAAGATTAAAATTTTAAATATTAATTTTATAATTAGAAAATAAAGATAATATTTTTTGAATAATATTTTTAATGTAGACACATATATATTAATAACACATAAATTTTGAATAAGATATGCATAAATTAAATCCATCTAAATATCATTAATAAAATAAATAATTAATAAAAAATTCGAATTTCAGTATTTATCCTCTAACCCTTGTGGATATGCTATCGATGTATTGAGTGTTTTTTGTTTGTCGTTGTACATATTTGACAATACAGATTAGTCATTACCCTCTTTATGTACATGTTTGATATTGATTTTGTAAAAACTTCCATACTTGAATCTTCATTATGTTTTCAGTTATCGTTATAAATATTATTTTTTTTAAATGTAATTTAGATTCAAAATATGATTTTAAAAATATATAATTTGAGATATTATTTAATAATAATAATATTAATCAATTTTTATATATTTTCACTGAATTTTAAAATTTAAAGAAGATAATAAATTAACTGTTATTTAATTATATATATATATTTAATTATGAATATAAAAATATTAACCGACTAATCTAAATTAATTATTATAAAAATGATATTTTTAATTTCAATTTATTACGTTGATAAAATTAAAATTGTAATATCTAATTTTATTTAAATGACTTACTATCAATTGTATTAAAAGAAGTGATGATTAATATTGGATTGGGATGATAGAAAAACGTGATTTTTCATTATTTAAGTAAATTTTGAGTTTGAGTTTTGTATATGAATAATTTTTGTTGAAAGATTCATCTACTAAAATCATATGTACGATTTAAATCGATCCAAATTAATCAAAACAAAACTTTAAAAATAAAAAAGACAACTAAATAAAAAATCTTATTTAAATATCATAACATTTGAAGTTAAGTTTATTTTCACCATATTTTGCTGCATGCTAACATGCTGTACCGCGTAACTTCCTTTTAAAATATCAGGTATGCGTTGGGGCACAAAGAAGGGAATTAAAATAATGAAATAAGATTTTAAAATAAAGATATTTTATTAACAATTAGTTAATTTAATTAGATGAGACATTTGATGTTTAAGTAAGGTCAGAAATTTAAAATTTGACAATTGTAAATAGAACAAATTGAGTTAAGAAAATCATCATTACTTCTATAACATTTGATCTAAATTAATCTATTAATAAATAAAAAAAAACAAAACCAAAGATATTTTGGGATCAACAAAGAATCTGATTCGATGAGCTTTTTCCCTTTTCTGCGGGTTTGAAATTTTTTAGTTTATTCCTCTCTATATTCGATGGTTGCGTAATAATAATTCCACACCAATTATTTTTTATTAAATTAAAACTTCCAATTTTTATGTGGTTTAATATAAAAATAAATGTATAAATTATACTGTTTTTCTTAAAATTATGTCTAAAATTTTTCGGTTAATCTAAGGATCTAACGTTAGAAATATTATTATTTTTAGTGTTTAGACCGTCACAACCATTAATTTCTGCAGTTAAATGACACTTGTCACCTTTATAAAATTTATATTTTTTTTAAAAAACTTAAAATTATGTATATTTTTAAAAGAAAAACCAAAAGTTTTTGAAATATTTAAAAAAATCTCAAAACATTGAAAATCCTCATTATAATCCCTATATCCTCGACCGTCACCGTCATTTGTTGTTGTTACTGTCGATTGAACCTCCAGCAAAATCTCCATCCGATGAGCAGTTGAACACAACAATCCATAATCGATGAACAACCGACAAACAAAATAACCACGACGAACTAAATTTTCAAATTTTACGATATATAGATAACCCGACGACGCTCGCGACAAAAAGGTTGAAGACTACTGATGAAGGAGATGCCAATGAAGTGGGTAAGGTTAGGGATTTTAGGGTTATTTTTTAGGGATTTGAGATTTTTTGTAATTTTAGAGAAATTTAGTTTTTTAAATATAATATTTTTTAAAGTTTTTTTAAATTCTAAAATTAATTGAATACGACATGTGTTACTTTACAGAGTTTTTTTAAAGATCGTTACGATCGAGGGACCTAAAGTAATAACGTTTATAATGTTTTTCACCTGGATTGACCGAAAAAAATTTATGTACCACTTTAAAAAATGATATATTTAGACACTTATTTTTATATTAAATTTTTTTATGTTAAAGGGAATAGTTTGAAATTGGAGTTTACGCAAAACTGAAGCATAAAAAATCGCATATACTCCATCATATTTTAAGTTTGTATAAACTACAAAAATGATCATTAATGTTTAAGTGAATTTTTATTTTTTTATTAAAGTTTTAAAAATAATAAATTGATCATTAATATAATCTGTTACTTCAATAACAAAATATTAATGTGACGGTGTTACATCGATGACCTGACATTATTTTTCTGCACATTCAAAGCTTTTGACCGAATTTCTCCTCCCCAATCTTCTTATTCTCTCTCCTCTCTACTTAAAAATAGGGGCTACAACTCTTAAACTTTCCAAAGCCATTCCAAAGCATCTCATGCTTGAAATCATATTGCAGAAATAAATTCCATGAAGTCTTCATCTTCATTTGACAGCCAAGCACTTGATACACTCATTTCAACAAGTCTTTGACCCCCTTCTATCCAAACTTAAAAAATTAATTTTACAAGTGATTTTAAGATGATGATAAGTAATTAAGAGCACTTATAGAATTGTTTTTTCATTGTCATTGTACCAAATAATATCTCAATTAATAGTATTGGTGATGTATCAAGTAATCTTATATGTCGGTAATCCTATTATAATACATATTTGATTCATTGATCCAAACACACCATAAAAATATTATTAAATATTTTTACTTTTAATATTAAATTCATGATTAAAAAAAAGGACCTGATGATTTTGGTTTTTGAAATTGAGTGTTTAAAGGAATTGTTGGTTGTCTTCGCACCTCTAAATTCGTCACAAAAACAACAATGTCGCTAAGTAAAAAAATTGAGTATTTGTATCATGTAGACCTAGCCATTCGCAGTATTGTTCCCTTTTATTAACTGCTCACCACCAAAACTAAAGCATATAGCAAGGATGGGCACGAGATTTTAATCGGATCAAATTCGGATTTATAATGAAAAATACTCAATCAAACCTAAAAAAATAATGTAATTATACATTTTATATTTAAAGATAATTACAATAATATCCCTCTATATTATTTTTTATAAATATATTTATATCCGATCGGATTTCGAATCAGGTAAAATCATCCTAAATCCAGATCAGGTTGGATTGATTTCAGATGGAGGGCAGTGGCGAATCTATATATAACCCAGGGTATGCACGTTAAAAAGTGGAATGGATCATCAGCAAGACATAAGACCTTCAAAACCAGCCACCAGGAGGTGGAATGTTTTTGAGGGAACATAGTGCAAGATAAATGACACTTTTCAACTATCTGGCATTCAACAACCTCTTCTTTGTTTACAGCATAAAAGGAATACATTAAACCAAAACAAAGGAAGCTAATGTTCTAACCCAACCACATAAGAGTTGTGTTATTGGACACTATCCATCATAAGTACAAGAATGTGCTTATCAAGTTGTACATATCTCACCCTCGTAAATACAAACTCCAAGGGCTCAAATCAAAGGGAAAGTGAGCTCACCTCGTCAGCTTTCCATACCCCTTCTTCATACTTATACCACCTCATAATGCATGAATCTTTCATGCATGTTAGGAATTCGCGTAACCGAGATGCCTTCTCAAGAATAGACTGATCTAGCTCCCTCATAATTCTTCTTGGGGCAGGAGGAGGTGGTATTTCAATGAGAAGGCAATGGGATATGTTAAGCACTTCTAGGTTTTGCAACTCATCGAATATGGAGATCAAGGTATCCTTCACAAGCATTGAACAGCGGAGGCTCAAAACCCTTATATTTGGTAGATACATTATTATTGTAGCAGCAAAAAAGTTGTCGAAAGGTCCCATCACCTTGAGTTCACTGAAATTCTTGCAGTTATTGTCAATTTCCTCCAAGAGATAGGGAGGGTTTGCTATGCTAGGCATTGTTAAGGATTCAAGATCCTTCCAGATGCGAACAGCTTTGCATATTCCTGTTTTTTTTATTCTGTTCCAAGCTAGCATTACAAGCTGTCGGAGCCCTGGACACCTGCAGTAAGAAAAACAAGATCACCTTCTGCTGCATGCAATGAAATAGCATATAGTAATGAGGAAAAATTGTAATGACAGTCTTCAAGAACTCCTCAAATAATAATAAAAAATAAGGATTGAAAAGACTGATCTATATAATACCATGAGCAAATGCTTTTTCGGGAAAACTAAGAGAATAATACGAGAAAGAGAGAAGAGGGTCCAAAAATAAGGAGGTTCAGACGACGAAATTGTTAACACTGTATTAACCTATAAATAAATCAAATTCACTAAAATTACCTTTCAGCAGTATAGGTCAATTGATCATCACTCACATATAGATTAAAGTGAAAAATCAAGGTCATTATGTTTCCCTGACTGAGACTCAAAGATGTCTTCAATAAATGGGTCAATGTCTTGTCGGAACGAGCATCCACATATACATAAGGCTCCAATGGAATTTTGATAAAATTTGACTTCATCATTGATAAATCAAGTGTTCTCAAAAGCAAAGGATCGCAACAAGCCATACGCCATGAACTGCAGACTTGAGCAATGCCTGAAGTTAACTGATAGATGTCAACAGACTGGAAGATCTTCACCAAGATATCAATGTCTAGGTCCTCCCATCTTCTTGCAACACGGTCACTTTCTTCCATTCCACCAGGTTTTCCAAAATGTCCAAGGACTTCCACAGCATCACCAAACCTACAGATATGCATATAGAAGGTTGAGTAATGATAGAAACTGTTAGTGGATAGAAATGCACACCCGGTCCTCTAGAACAGTCAACACAGCAATAACCCCTACAGAAGCCAAGAACAATGAAGTGTAAAAGCATGGAAACTCATTTTCTTGATGTTCATAAAAATAAATTTGAAATCCAGAAAGATACTCTTAGTTGACACTAATAAATTCCATATTCCGTACTGAGAAAAATGGTAAGTAGATATATCTTGTCATGATTTCCATTCAAAGATGCCCAGCAATGATAACACGAGAAGAATCAATATGTATGTAAATAAAAATTTACATGTCACCAAAATTTGGTCCAATACTCGTCTTACAATATAAGAAAACAGAATATATACATATTAGAATATGTTTGATTCACAAAAATGCAAGCATGGGTGTATATTCCATTAACAGTAATTAACTCCCGAACCATAGTGTGCTTCAGAAGCATCCAAACATAGGAGGTTATCAATCAATTGGACTCATTTGGGCAAATCGAAAAATGTAAAACCAAGAAATCTCCATAACCGAACATCAAACATAACAATATCCTCCGCAATATTTCACAATTAACTAATCTTCATGCTATTATTTTCCGCCTATTGTCTATTCACATCTTTAGCCTGCTGCCTAACATTAAGCACAATCAAATTTATGAATTTACATTTGATCCCATAACCGCTTTCTTTCCCAACCTTTTCTACTCCACACCAATATATCAGTGGCATTCCAAGTCTCAATTGCATCCACATCAAGTATAACAATAACATGTTATTGATAAAAATAAGGGGATTACATAGAGTAATATAAAACAAAAAAGCCAAATTCTCGAACTTTTGAGTCTGAAATTTTATTCTTTCAACCCAATTCATAAGCAAAAAACTTACTTCCAGGAGAAGCGAAAATATTTTAATAGGAACCGGTTCCATAAAAAAGAATATTGAACACAAGATATGAAAAAGAAACTGATACCCCACATTTCAATGCAATTCCCAGCATAGAGCCCTTTGTTATAAGGAAAATTATCGATCTTGTTCACTCCAAGCATAGTAATAAATTCTACTAGAAGATCTAAATTCAACAATTTCAGTTCAAAGACGCTAAAAGAAGAACCAACCCGTGAAATGAAAAGAAGAACAAAATCAAGCTTTGATACTTAAAAAGAAATTTGGGTTCACTCAATTTTAACCAGATCCTCCATCTTTACATGCCCATTAAAGAAAGGGTCCACGTTGAACTGACTTTCACCTCACAGTCTAAAAAAGAAAACTAAAATTACATATTCTGATACGGAAAAAAGAGAGAATTACCTTCCCGACGCGAAGTTGGTGAAACCTGATCGTAACTATGTCACGTGAAGTGAAGAACCTCTGCTTCCATTTTTAGACACCTTCCCTGATTTTTTCCCGGAGCACAAGAGCTAGGGTAAACTCGTCAGCTGGATAGCTATAGTACAGAATTGTTGGGGGAATAATATATATATATATATTGCTGCGGTCTCCGCCCCTTTCGATTATTAGTAGGGGCTCGTGCCTTCGTTCCGTCGGTATAGGTATACCGTCACCGCTCGAAGTCCCGTCAATTGAGTGCCACCAGTCAGTGTTCTCCAATCCCAGACCCCCCTAGTCTCCGGCGAGTGGAGGACGAAGGGCGTTTCCGCTTTTCTGCCAAAGGAGCAAGACAGCTAAAGCTGGTGTTTAGTTGTGGAAAAAGATATATTTGATCTGAATTTCTGGGAAAGAAGGAGAAGGGAAGCAGTTACAGTCTCTTTGAACCGTGTTTGGGCAGAAAGAAAACTGTGTAAACAGAGTAAGAGAGAGAATCAGGTGTTCACAGAATTACCAAAACGCCGAATATGAAATTGAAATTACTACTATAAACCCTAAACTTAATATCCTAATCCCTATACCATTTACCAATTACCATTTACCATTTACAGTAAGTTCCATTAGTCTTCACAAATATTATTATAATTATGGAAAATTGTACCATTTCATTAGTCTTTATGGAAAATTGTACCATGAATGTTAATATACGTTATTAATTGTATAAAATAAAATTTATAAATAGTTATTAAATTATATTAAAGAAATTATGTATTTTTAATAAAAAATAATTATTAATTATTAAACTTTCAAAAGTTACATAATAAACATTAAATTTTAGATTTTATTACAAAATGAGTATCCATTAGAAGGTTGATGTAACATGCTAAATTAATAAGAAATATCTATTTCGATCCATAAACTATAGTTATTTTTTAATCTGAACCAAACTAAATTTTTATCCCATCTTAAACAATCTAATCAAATACAAATTAATAACTATTTTAAAAAAATTAATAGACATTAAATTTATAAATAGTTATTCAATTGTATTAAAAATTTAAATATTTTTTGAATAAAAAATAAATATTAAAAAATAAAATTAAGTATTAAACTTTTAAAAGTTAGATAATAGACATTAAATTTTAAATTTTATTACAAAATAATTTTCTATTAGAAGGGTGATGTAACATGTTAAATTAATAGAAAATATATCTTTCGATCCATCAACTATAATTAAAATTTTATTTAAATATTTTTAAGCAATAATTCTAAAAATCTTTTTTAATATATGAAAAATTCAGTTTATTTCTAAAATTGTAAAAATATTTTTTATAAATTATAAATTTATTTTTTTGGTACAAAGAAATTATCATTTTATGAATTTTTAATTTATCAAATTATTTTATGATTAATTTTTCATTTAATTGTTATTATATTTGTAAAATTAAAAATTAAAAATTAATATTTTTTTAGATCTAACAATTTAATTATCAAATAACAAAATTATTTTTTCTAGGAAACATGATTCGAGTATTTAACTTTTGTTTAATAAATTTAAATATAATTTAAAAATAATACATCAAAAAGTTATAATATCACATTAATAATAAAAAATATATTCAAACTAAAATTAAAATAATCAAAATAATCCTTAATTTGTAATAATGTATCAAATAATTTATATTATGTTATAAATTAATATGATACTAAAAATTAATATTTAATTTATTTATATACAAAAAGTAAAATTTAATCTTAATTTAAAATATAATAATGGTTTATCATAATAATACGTTGAAATTTCATCAAACATTAGGACCAATTAAGGTCGTCAATGATAGAACATAATAATCTAATTAATTTTATATGTACTTTTATTTTCTTATGAGTATGGTTATTATATTTATTAAACAATATCTTTAAAAAAATTAAATACTCCAAACATTAGGAATGCGATACTGTAGTTAAAAGCTGAGAGCTTTTATTTTTTGCTCTGATCATCTTCTTTTCTCTTCCCCCCCCCCCCTTTCTGTCACCTTCATTAGGTCAAAGGAATCATCTTGATAGAGCCAGAGTTATTTAACATCCCTAGAGTTTCAGCTTAAGCTCTATATCTTCATTAAAGAAGTGACAAGCTTAAATAGCATCCAATTGCTTGGAGGAAGGTGAAGATATCACCATCTGATTAAAAAGTAAATGAAGCATAATACAAGTTTCAAAAGATTACAACTTGCCACCCGTATTCGATCAATAGTATTCGATCTATTGATCAAATTTTGCAGGAAGTAGTGACCCTCACAACCCAATTTTCTCTATTAACAAAAGTCAAGATTCAAACTCCTGACATTGCTTAAAAAATTCCAGTATCTTATCCCATTATACCAACAAGTGGTTTCTTTAGCAACTATCCAACCTTTCAATAACCATCTTGTTGTAGCTCAATGAAAACAATTTCAATAGATAAAACCTTCATCTACTGTTGTGAAACATGCATTCTTGCTCCTAAAACACCAAATTTCGACTTTATATCAAATAAAGCACTAGCTAGAATGCAATCAGATATGCGGGTTTGACATCATGTTGATGATAACCACACAGAGTAGCACCCAACAACAAGGTTTTAGGTGTTTACTTCATATCATTGTGCATACTCCAACCCGGGGGAATTTTCTCAAATTATTGGAATCATCATTAAAAACAATTATTAGCTGAAGGGTGTGTCTTCAACAATGTTACATACCCATTTTACTAATTTATCATTAGCCAAAATTATTAAATAGCTATAACAGTGCAGCCAAAACAAGATGAAATGCTAATAGAGACACCTTTGGTATTCGACACAGAAGCAAAAGCACGCACAGTCTCATTTATTTCTACCAGCAGCCTTTGCCGTGTCCCGAGCTTCTTCTCTCAGTACTGCCTTCACATAAATTTCATAGCAACAACCTGAAATAAACAAACATGATACCATCATACAAGAAGTTTAATCATCGATGTTCGACTGTTTAAACAACACTATAGTTCTTTCTTGATCTTATGTAGGGTCTGGTACATCAAACTCTTGAAATTGAAACACCATCTAGTAGATCAAATCTATTAAGATTGATTCAGCAAGCTTTCTTGGTTGGTTCACAATCCCATTGAAGGAGGAGGAAGGGAGGGCAGAAGAGAGCAGTCATTAACCAAATTAATTCTACAATCAAGCCATTGACAAAGTGAGGACACAATGGCGGCTAAAATTGCAGAATAAATAACATTTCCGGTTACAATCACGTCTAATGTCCAAAGTTACCAAAAATCAATTCAAACCAAAATAAACATTGGGCACACATTTAGAGCATGTCAAAAAGCATTCAATCCGGATCATAGGGAATCAATTCCAACTTATTGTTGAGTTATATTCATGAGCAATTCAACTTATAACAAAAGTAGCCTCACCTGCTACAACAACAATTGTCAGAACATCGCCGATCCTCTTCAGTCGCCACACACTCTTCTTATAAGATTTAAATCGTCTTAACAAAGGGTCCTCTGCCAAGAGCTGCAGGGTATATATACCATATCAACATCGTATCAAGTATGGCACAACATAAATACATACATACCAAGCCATAAAAAAGGAAACTGATTGAAGAATTAGAATCATTATCTTCTGAGTAATCAAATACCAATTTCTCAATCCAATGTAATGACTCTGTAACTAACTAACTATGATAAAAAAAAAACTTCAAAAAAAAAGTGAAAAAAAAAGAATTAAAAGAATCTAATGTAAGGACAGTGTAGCAAACAACAAAAACTTTTTTTAAAAAAGTAAAACCCGTAATCGAGAAGAATTTTAAAAAAAACCTAACATTCATAATCTTTTCAAATGAGGATCCTTCTAGTCTACAAATCCATCAATTAATATGGGCCAACTCAAAAAGATAAAAAATTGTACCTTAAAACCAGATGCTAGATATGAAAACTATTAAATCAAATCAAAAGAGGAAAACGCAAAAGAAACGAAAGTGCATAATTTTCATATCAATAAAGTTGAACTGAGAAAGAAATACAGAAAAGGGGGAGCTCACAGCTTTCTCACGATCCCCAAGCTCCACATGAAATGCTCGACTTGGCACAGACATACAACCTTCTGTCCTCTGCTTTGAATCAGTGAATAAATATCATAGATGTGTTAACAAATCAAGCGAAAACCCAACAAGGATCTATGCACGCATAAAAATCATATACTTTTATACCTGAGAAGAAGATCGGAGGTGGATCGCAAGACTGCTTTGTCGAAGGAGAAAGGCCATCTCTTTGATATTTCAGAGATTTTTCAGATCAAATAATAATAATGAACGAATAATGATTAACTTCTGGAAAGTGTGGATTGTCGACCAAAGCAAAACGCCAATAGGGCTTTTTAGTAATTGAACCCCCAACGTTTTCTCATAGCAGGCCCATTGAGTTTGTACATGAACGTTTGGGACTGATTCTGGAAGGGTTTTTATCTCAAAATTTGTTTTAAACGTAAAAGTAATTTTAAATAGATAAAAACTTGCGTTTGAAAATGATTATTAACTCAAATCAAAGAAATTGAAAAAACGATATCTCTGTCTTAGAAAAGTCAGCTGGAAAATCACTTTTGGTTTGGGAAGTATTCTCGAACGATTATTTTGGGTTGCGGGTTTGGTTTTATATAATAAATTAATATTTATGAGTTACAAAGATATGATTCAATTATATTATGTATTTTTTTTTTAATTTTATATATATTTAAGATTGTTGGATGAATGAAAATAAACGTTTGAGATTAACAGTATGAAATGAGAATATATTCACTCAAAAATAGAATAAATTACACGCTTACCCACTGAACATTATTCTCTTCTATTTCACTCACCGTTCTTTTAACTTTTTTCAATTTGCTCACTAAACTTTATAGATTGAATTTTTTTAGTCACTCTGTTGTTAATCTTGTAACAGCGTTAATGACATGGCTGATTTAAAAGATTTTTTAATCAGAAAAGATGTATCTCTTTAAAAACCCTTAAATTTTCCACCATATAATTTCATTCTATACATTTTCTTCACCAAAGAAGCTGTAACCAGGCTCGCAAAACGCACAGCTCCAACACCAACACCCCATCATTTTTTTCTTTTCAAATTCAGCCTCACATGGTATGTTTTTCTCTCCCTCCTTCAATTTGACTGGGTTTAAACTCGAATGAGGATTCAAGGTCTGGTTTTGGAATCAATGAAGAGAAAGATAAGGTTGCATTGCCAACCATTACCTTCTTTTTTTTTTCTTTTGTCCAATGAGCCCTTATCTAACACGGACATCGTTTAAACATCCGTTGTCACCCTTCAATCAACATATACAACTATCACAACTTAACCCTCCATCAACATGCACCCTTTCCTCTCATTCCCAACATTGTACAAACACTTGGAAGCCACACACTACCAATGCACCCATGAAGCTTTAAAAATGGGGAAAAAATAAAGAAAACTCAACAAAAAGCTTTAAACCCAAACACCCAAAACCAGATGGAATAAGTGTGAAACACCCAACAACAAAACCTCATACTTGCATCATCTTTAAAATCGAAGACCTTAATATTACCATTCAAAACACTCTATAAATTATACAAACGAACATAATCAAGACCTATTTAACACCCAAAGATTAAACCCCCAAAAAATTGATTTTAAATTGAGAAAGTATCAGAGGTAAAGGAAAACAAAGGATAAAACAAAATCAAAGTAGCAGTGATTAACAAATAAACAGAAATAAAATAGAGGTCTTTTTCTCTAACATCTACCTTTGAGTCGGAGGTGGTGCAGATTGTTTAACTTTGTTCTAAGTCGGCAGTGGTGCAAACTATTTAGCATTGTTTTGAGTGAGCCTTGGTACAACTTGTTTATCTTTTCCCAAAACAATGTCGATGATTCGAGAGTTAAACTAGTCAAAATACTGTTAACAGCCGAATGGGAGGTGGAGAAATGGAACAAATGGATGAAGAAGATGAAGATGAACGAGAAATGAGCAGTGATGAATGAAAATAATATAAAAATAATATTAATAAAATATCAATTTAAATTAAAAATTAATAAAAGTGACATGTCATCTCAAACTTACAGAAAATTTGACAGAGTGACTAAAAAAATTCAATATATAAAGTTTAGTGATTAAATTAAAAAATTATAAGTATGGTGAGTGAAATAGAAGAGAGAGTAAAGTTAGTGAGTAAGCGTGTAATTTACTCCAAAAAAATAAGGATAGATTACAAATTTCATCACTGAAATTTACTCCATCTCCTATTATTCTCGCTGAACTTTAAAAGTTTTCAATTTTCTCATTGAATTTAACACATTAAGTTTTTTTTGTCACTCCATCGTTAAATAGTTAACGAAGTTAGAACGAAGTCGTTTTAGAAAAAAATATCAAAACGCCGTCCTTTTACATTTATATAGCAACCCATTTATAATGCTGTTAGTGAGAAAACGATTGAGTGACCAAACAAACTCAATGCATTAAGTTCAGTGAGGAAATTGAAAAAATTTAAAATACAATGAGGGAAATAAGAGAGAGAGTAAAGTTCAATTACCAAATTTGTAATTTACCCAAAAAATAAAGAGTTAACATCAGTAGTCTATTTTCACTCTTCCAAAGATACTAAACTTATATAAATCTGGAAAAAGATTTACACTATATCAATGTATCATAACTCTTATTTAAATATAATGGTAAACTACTCCAAATATCACTAACCTTTAGGCGTTGACTCGAAAATATCACTGACGTTTCAATTTTGCTAATTTAAGAACTGACATTTATGTTTACTCCAATTAAGTCACCCCGTCATTAATCCGTTAATAGGACGCTGACATGGCATGGACAGGCCGTGACAGTGATGTCATGGATGCCTTACGAAAACGATATCATTTCGACATAACTATTTTGGTGCTCAATAAACGTAAAACGATGCCGTTTTTCTTTAAAAATATTGAAATAATATATGCACATGTAGGGATTTGAACCCCAAACCGCTTGATATTAAACATAATGCTTAACTAGTGAGCTACCTTATTTTTTTTTTGTTATTTTTTCTATAATTTTAAGAATCTAAAATTCCAGTTAACGATGCTTGAAAAGAACTGATGATATTGCACCGTATAACATATTGTGACCGAGATCTAGAAGTTGTAAGAACCTAATCTTGTCAATGTTGTCTGGGATGTTTCCTCTTAGTTTATTGTTCCTCATCGAGAGCTTAACGAGAGATACTGGCAACGTTGATGGGACTTGGCCAGATACATTGTGTCATAACAATTCTTTTTGAAAAACAATTAAGTTTAAAAATAATTATGACTCTATTTTGAAAAATTGGGGTTTTGAATTAATTTGAATTAAGTTAAATGGGAGTCGCCATCGACCTTTAGGTTAGGTAGGCCGGATACCTAAGAACGTCTTTTAAAATAATTTTAAGAAAAATCATTTTTAGACAAAAATCGGTCTGCAATATCAAAGATTCAATTTAACGGGTCTGGGAGACGATTACCGGTGGGAAAGGATATGCACCCCCACAGTGCCCAAAATTGTTACTTAATCGTCTACATGTTTTCGTAATAGTGGAAATCATGAATTCACATTGATAATTAAAGTATGATCCATGTATTGAAGTTAATTAATTTGCTTTGAATTATTTGTTAGGGAACATTCCTTAATCCAATGGGAAGGCTATATCGTCTATTTCTCCTTTATACAAGAAATATTCCCCCTCACCAATGTTATCAGAAAAACGCAACTCGAATACAAATTGAAAATCGACATTTGCATAAAATAAAATAAATTGTTACATAAAAAACGCATTGGATCATTTGAATTAAAAAGATTTAATTAGTAAAATAAACTAGATTTATTTCAAGTTCCCATTTTCGTTCGAATACTATATCGGATTACATTACTTCGACCAAGCAGTGCTTTCTACGCTCATTCTACAAATAAAGTTCTTGAAACTATTCGAGAAACAAGTTAACATATATTCATAAATGGATAAAAGAACATAAAATAATTAAAATATATATTGAAATATTTATAAAATGTACGTATACACAAAAAAAAATATAAAGGATAAAATATTTGCAAAATATTAGAATCAGGTAAGTGATAAAACATTGACTAACGGGTCTTTTATGAAATAAAATAAATAAATGAGATCAAACCAAATTTGCATCCTACACATGGATATAAATATATATTAGGGTCGACAATTGTAAAATAAATACATGCATGCAAATATAATATCATAGATACAAACAACAAACAAGAAATATAAACAAACGCAAGCAATCTACAAGAGAACACAAAACCATATTTTGAGATAATCAAATTATAATAAACCTAATAATAAAGACTAAAGTAAAACAAAGGATAGGACCAAACCATAAAAAGAAAGTAATAAAAGTCTAGATACGTAATAAGCCCATGAACATAGATGTTTCAGAATCAACATATAGTAACTTAAAATAAAATTAAACCTATAGGATTTAAGTCTTTATCTTCTAAACATTATTTATAGACCAAAATGAGTGTTACGTAAACATTGTAGCCGAAGTCAAAAACACCATAAATAATAAATACAAACAAACATGGACTAAAATGTGAACTTGAATGAATGCTATGTCCAAAGTCAAATATTCTTATAAATACTACAATTACAAATGAGGATTAAAATAGAAGTACTAATAAACATGGGCTTGAAATAAAAGGAATTAAATTCCATTTAGTTACTAAAATGAAAAAGTTACAATATAGAGACCCACTTCACGCTATTGGACGAAGCTCTAATCGTATGACCCCATTTCCCTTCAAACAATATGGCGTCGCGTTGGGGATCTGATATAATCCCCTTCATGGGTCATTTGAAACCCTAATATTCATTTCATACCCACCATTCAACCGTTCTCTAAAAGAATAGAAGAGAGAGTTCTCGCCCGTGACCACAAACACACCTTCCAGTGGTCAGGGGTTGGAACAAACAACCCAAAACGGTCTCCCTTGCTCTACCAAACCCAAAGCCTAAGTTGTTTTCACCTAAAACCATCCTAAAAAGCCTAGATCTAAAAAAAAGGAACCAAAAGGTCTACCTTCGTTGGTAGAGACACGAAGGTAAACTCTCTTTTTTTTGTTGGTTTTTTTTTTCAGTTTTTTCAAATGGTCCCTCCTTGGTTTTTTCTTCTTTGGTTCTTCTCTCCCGAACCTTTTTTATTTTCTGGTTGTTGCCCTTCATTTATGTCTGATTCTTGGATGGAAATAATGACATCTATTATGTAGGGAGAAGATTTTCTGATTTTAGGTGAAATCCCGAATTTTTGGGATTTATGTTTTTTTTTAATTTGGGGTTTTCAGATTAGGTTACTATTTTTACTGATGGGGTTGCTGTTTGGTTGATTTGGTGTACTATTCGGCAGGTTTTGGTGACGATGGTGGCGGTGTGCGACTGGTGAAGCTCACGCACCAGTTTGGGAGTTGAAGAGTTGGGTGCGTGTATCACGCGCTCCGGTGATGGACGGTCTATCTTCTGGTCGGCAGCGGCTCCTACTGGAGAGAAGAAACCCTAATGTGTTTAGGATTGTCAAGTTAGTCCTGGTGTTGGACCTGAACCGGGTTGGATCTTGGGCCGGGTTGAGTTGATTGTAATCGGGTCAGCTTGTATTTTGGGTTCCATTTGGACTGTTTGAGCTTTGTAATTTAGGCCTGTAAAAATGTAATAATATTTATAATAATAAAATTAAAAAAATTAATAATAATAATGAAAATAATAAAACTCAGATAAAAACGGGTGTTTACACATTGTTATCATTAGCGTTGAGAAAGTAAATGTTTCTGAGTAAACCTAGATCAGGAAACTCATCGGAAATGTAGTTTCGTTGGATTTCGAGTCGTTTCAAGCGTGATAGGTTGTTAAAGCTTGAAGGAATTGGTCCATATAGATATGGTTGTTGTCAAGGTAGAGTTATTCAAGGTAAGGGAGTGAGCCAAGAACGATAGGTATTTCACCGGTGATTAAGTTCCCGGAGAGACCTAGTCGATGCAGGCGAGGTAAATTGGAGAACGAGTCAGGAACTCGAAGCAAACCAGAGACGAGCGTATCGCACCTGAGCCTGCAAGTGAAGTGGTCAGTGAAGATGTTGTCGCATGAGTCAATGGAGAAATCCCAGGAGCTCAAACAAGATCCGAAGCAATGGAAGGAGTGTCCACACCATTTTTAAGATCTTTGAGAACTTGTACATCTGTTGGATGTGTTCTTGAATTTACTAAAAGCAACAACTTCGAGAATATGGTGATGAAAACAAGAGAATGTAGACGGAGATAAAGGGTACTAGATATCGATGTCAGGGGTTAAGCAATAATTTTAATTGGGGTTCAAGCATCGTTAACTAGAATTTTAAATTTTTAAAAGTTTTATAGAAAAAATAAAAAAATATATAAGGAAGTTCATTGGTTAAGCAATAAGTTTAATTTCTAGGTGTTTGGGGTTCAAATTCCTCTAGTTGTTTATTTTTTCAATAATTTTTTTCAAGAAAAACAACACCGTTTTGTCTTTATTGAGCACCAAAATAGTTGTATTGAAACGACATCATTTTGGTAAGGCATCCATGTCACCACTGTCACGGCCCGTTAACGGATTAACGGTGGGGTGATTTAATTGGAGTAAAACATAAATGTCAGTGCTTAAATTGACAAAATTGAAACGTTAATGACATTTTCAAGCCAACGCCTAAAGGTAAGTGATATTTGGAGTAGTTTACCCTAAATATAATTATAAAATATTAAAATAAACTGATTTTAAAAATGATAAATATGATGTTTAGATTGATTCATTTCATGTTTAATTAGACTTCTATTAAAAATTCAAAAAAATATCTATTCATAGTTAAGTCCCGTCCAACCTATCAGTATCTTTATTATATCATAATATTTTATTAACGTATATGTTTTCCATTTATGTATAACATTATATGGAGTGGAGTTAAAAATTTTGATTTAGTTGAATTGATAAGTCTTATTTTATAACTCAAATTTTATTTAAATTTTGATGAGACAATTAAAGTTGAGTCGTTCAAATTTGTGTTCAAATTTAATTGTAAATATTTATACTATTATGATACTAATTTATTACAATGTAAACATATTTCTATAAAAAAAAAGTCAAGGAACTCGACTAGAACTTGACTTTTAGTTGTTCCAATCTTATATGTAAATATTTAAATTCCAATTTTTTGCAATCTTATATAGTTAAGGTCAAACATTTATTGCAATTTTTTTCAAAGACAATTCGAGTTGAGTTGTTCGAATTTATTGTAATTTATGTTCAAATTTAATTGTAAATATTTTTTATATATGATTTACTTATATCATGTAAAGTTGAGGGTCTCGACTATAACTTGAAAATCAATTAACTAATTACTAAATTTTTTTAGTTATATGAGTCTTATTTTATAACTCATGCTTTATTTTAAAAAAAATGAGCCAAATTTATAAAATTACGAAATCAAAAAATTATTTGGGTGCCTCCGCTATTGTACAAAACCGAGAAATGATCGTTAAATTTTTCACCTTAAGTCTCGGATCAAGTCACTTTATGACATTCCCTCTATCAAAGGAGATGATTGTTATATCTCCAAAGATAACCTTCGAAAATCGTCAGCTCTCCGCTAGTCAAGGCCTTCGAACAGTCCCCTCCGCTTAATGGAGCCTTCAAGGAGCCCACATCCTCCAAGCACAAACCTTTGAGTCAACTACAGTGCACAGGTAAGACCTTTGATAGGTCCACATAATATACCATAACGAAATTTAATATCTGACTACCAAATATATTTAGACTATTAACCTAGAATAATTACCCTATACTTGACACCTCAGTTAAGATTAATGAGGGGATTAAACCTCCATGATCTCCTTACGAGCTCCTACTTTATCCTTATGATCATTCTCTCACAAAAAAACATTAGTCAACAATCATTCTCTCACCGATCGTAACTCTTTACTCAAATTAGGAAGGATTAATAGTCAAACATATTTCCATAGCCCATAACCCTTTCAGATTTTTTTGGATTAGCCGAAGGTAAATGTTGTTTGTTATGAAATGGATGATATGGAGCGAAAACATGGATTTGGAAAGGAGCCTTAGGTAGTTCACATCTTTTCTTGAAGAATCTAATAGTTAATTTTACTAAGATTGGAAACTCGTGATAACGGGGCTGTCCGATTTCTTTGGCCCTTTTCCTGGTAGTGATTACTCTCAAGGTGTTTATAAACTGTTTTCTAAAGTTTATAAGTCAAGATTCCTAAAAGAAATGGCCGAGCTAAAAAGTAATAACCTTTTGTAAAGAGTACTGGAATCAGCAAAATGTTTATCATATTGTGAGATTTCAATGAAGAGCATTAGTCCGACTAGTATATATGTCCAGGTCATTGGAGAGGTCTTAGTATAGATAGTCTAATATTTATTGAGACTGTTATTTAGAATGATGTTGGTTGAGTGTTATTAAACTTTAAGACTGACTCATGCTCAAATTGACACAGTTTTTCTGAATGATTGACAGGTAGCATTCATATCCGCGAACATATATGAACCCCAAGTACCATTCAGTCGACTCTGATGTAGTCCATAGATAAATTTGCACGGACCAGTCTCATTCTATGATCAAATACCACAAGGCACTTGTTGTTAACCATCCTTTTGATTAGAACCACAGTCTGCACAATTGATTACCTTTAAATGATTTTAGATCCTAGTTATGTGTCGACAGTCATTTTAGTCCAATAATATATTATTATTATTATATTACAATTATTATTATCATATTATTATTATTATTATAAATATTACAAAATCGGAGCCCAGTTACAAACGAAGACTCGAAGGCCCAAGACCCGTGCCAGGCCCAGACTCGATTCAGGCCCATGAAGCCCAAAAAACGATTAGGGTTTTCACATCTCATCTTAGCCGCCAACATCTACAATCGTGGGATCTAAAGAGATCTAACAGTCCAGATCCAATCTAGTAAGAATCCTAGGGTTTACCAACTCTAGGGACTATTCCGGCGCCGCCTCCAGATGGTCCACTCTGACGTTGCCACGCCGCCGCCGCCTCCAACAGAAGGATCCGGAAGAAACAAGGAGAACCGCACACCTCGCCCTATGGTGAGTCACCATCGTAGATCCGGTGACTCACCAAAATGAACGGTGGTCCAAGGCCTTCCGAGGCCTATAAAAAGCCTTGATTTCCCTACAAAAAGAGGGAGAAAGGGAGAACAAAAAAAAAAAACAAACGGCGAGAACGTGAAGAGAGCAAACAATACCAACGAGCAACAAACAAACCAGAAGGAGAAGAAAAGAAAGGAGATCTTACCTTCGTCGAAGCCCAAACGTCGTCGGAAAAGTTGTTTTACCAAAGGTAAAATCTTAGATCTAAGTCGTTTTGAAGTTTTTTAGGAAAAAAGGAGGATAGTTTCGGGTCTAGGGTGAACCGATCTACGATTTGATCTATTTTTATATTTTTCGACCACCGTGAATAGTGGCCGGAATAGTGTATGGCGGTGGTCGGGCGGTGACCGTAGCTCCCTCCGGTGAGAGAATTTAGAGAGAAGTGAGAGTTTCTCTCTCTTTAGAAAGAGAAGCAAAATTGAGAAAATGATAAGAATTTCTTATCTTGAGTCAAAATTGGGGTATTTATACATTTATCAAAACTATGTCGTTTTGGTGAAGGAGTGTGTGTGTAATTTCAAAATTGTTAAATCACGTCCATGGTCCCTGTATTTTATAATCTTCTATTATAGTCACCAAAATCTGGTTTCTATATCTTTTAATTTTGTCTTCACCTTTTATTTATTTTCATTTTAGTCATTAGGATTATTTACACTTTTAATATATATATTTTATAATATTTCGAATATTGACCAATAATTTATATTATTTTTATTTAATCATATATTTTTATTTTGATTATTATTTATTTATTTTATTTCGAATTTAATACTTATTTATTCTTTTTATCACATAGATATCCTAATAATCTATACTAGCTTTTAAAATAAATAAATAAATAAATTATTAAAAATAATAATAACAAATTGAAAAGAAAGAGCATTAATTTTTCTTTTATTATATTTAATACTATTCACGTTTTTAAAATATATATATATATATATATATTATTTTACTTTAATATTTTGTTTTTTTAAAGAGCACTACATTTGATACTACACTTTCAATTATATTAATATAAGCACTAACTTTTGTTTTATTATTTTTAAATACTAATCCCATGATTCTTGGTTTTAATATATAATAATGTTAGTGCTTTTAAATTTTATTCTTTAAATAAGTATAATATTAATTTTTAAAAATATATTATGTTAATTAATGGTTTTTTAATAAACGTTTTTTTATATTTTTTAAATAATTAATAAATAATGTTTTCATATTATTTTATTCATTTACATATTTTTTAAATAATCATAATATCTTATGTTAATTAATTTAATTAATTTTATAATTTAATTAAAGAATATTATTTTTTTATTGTCTTAGTAATTAA